TATTTTTAGACACGTTTTTATTTGCCTTTTATTTGATATTTTAATCAACTTTTTTCCCCCTCTCTATTTAGATACATCAAAATTAGATTCATCTAAAAAAATGAAGGAAAAAAAAAAGACTAAAAATATGAAAAGGTTCATTAGAAACAAATAAATATCTGAATAAAAATGTAACAATTTTTTGTTTGGATTTTCGTTTGTTTTTAATGAACTTTTTTATTTTATTTTTATATTCTAGTAAATATATATTTTTTTTAGATATATTTAGATTAGGTGCATATAAAAAAAAAATTTGACTAAAACAAGAAAACAAAATTCACACAAACATAAATTGGTCAAAAAAGAATTTTTTAAAAATCAAATCAAGCAGAAAATATTTTTCTAAGAGTGTGAGACTCACAAGACACACAAGAAAATCATGTACATGAGATATATATTGAGTTTTTACAAATATTTTTACAGACGACTTTCTATGTTATTTTACATGCATTCTTATTTCATAGGTTATGTATATCTTAATAATTTTGTTGAATAATATTGAATTGTTCCATAATATTTTTGTGACAGGTCTACCCTCTAGCCAAGACTCTAACCTTGTTGATCGCTTGCCGGATCTTTCTAGGGATGGAAAATCCAGATCGTATCGCGAGGCTAGTTCGCTATTTCGATGATGTCACCTTAGGGTTGCATTCGATCATGGTGAATTTTCCTGGCACTAACTTTTATCGAGCTAGCAAAGCTGCCGATGCTATTCGGAGGGAGCTAATGACGGTGGTGAGGGAAAGGAGAGCCGCCATGGTAGGCGGTGGAGGAGCTATGAAGCAAGATATACTGTCTCATATGATCGTTGTGAGTGATCCAATTGGGAAGGGTATGGGTGAGGCTGAGATTGCTGATAAAATGATGGGTTTGTTGGTGGCTGGTTATGCCAATGTGGCTGTCACCATTTCTTTCTTCATGAAGTTTGTGGGAGAAAGTCCAGACATCTACAATAAGATCCTTTCAGGTGATGATTTTGTTACATAATTTTCTATGAAGAATTATGTGATTGGATTGTAATTAAGGTAGTTAGCAGTTGACATGTGCGATATGCGGGATAAAAGGATTTTTTTTCTTTCTAGTCATAATATTCCCTAAATTTTAGTTAAATTATTTATGTGTATACATACATATAAAATTATTTAAAAAATAAATTTTGTGATGTGAAAGAATAATCTTAGTTGATCGTGAAAGAATAATCTTATTTACGTGTATACATACATATAAAATTAATTTTTTAATAATAAATTTGTGAATAGAGTGAACCAACTATATATATATATATATATATTATATTTATCATAAATAATGGAATTTTGGTTGACAAATTTAAAACCAAACATTGATCAAATTTAAAATATTATCGTTAAATTTCCTAAAAATTTGTAGACTATACTCGTGTTGTTCGAGTTTCATGTTACAACTAATTTATGTAATTTTACATATTTGAAATACAGAGCAATTGGAGATCTCAAAAGATAAAAAGACAGGAGAATTGTTAGACTGGAATGACATGTCGACAATGAAGTACTCATGGAATGTAATGTGTGAAGTGATGAGACTTGTTCCTCCTCAACAAGGAACCTTCAGAGAAGTCTTAACTGACTTCACATATGCTGGTTACACAATCCCAAAGGGCTGGAAGGTGTGTAAACATCTATCAAATGAATCTTGTGTATTTCTTTTTAGACTAGCTCATTATTCAATGATCCGAAACTGTCACAACATCTTCTGTTCTAACTACTTATAAAAATAAAATGACATTTGAAATCCTATCTTTCAATCTTGTTGAGAAGATAGGTTTCGAATGAGTGGAATCGTGGGTCTCATTTTTTTCTTGTTGGTTATTGGGTAGGTGTGTTGGTTTAGGATGGCCAAGTGTCCCCAACTTTTCAACCGTTACTCTTTAGCCTATGGTTTTTAATTAACTTTCTCTAAAATTATATATATATATATATATATGTGAGACATAACTATTTTTGTAGTCACGTTTTTTTTTGCTTTTTCCATTTTAAGAAAACTCCTAACAACTTTGTTACCATGATCGATTGATCATAAGTGGTTAGAATAAAAGATAATATATAATTTTGAACTGCTAAATAATTTTCCTTTAGCTATCACAACTTATTTGTGAGTGTTGTTTGTAGGTATATTGGACAGTTAACACAACAAACAAGAACTCTAAGTACTTTCAGGATCCAGAAAAATTTGATCCGTCAAGGTACGAAGGTGGAGAAGCACCGGCTCCATACACGTACGTGCCGTTTGGAGGTGGGCCTAGACTTTGCCCTGGAAAAGAGTATGCTCGTTTAGTAGTGCTAACTTTCGTCCACAATGTGGTGAAGAAGTATAAATGGGAGGTTCTTTTTCCAAAGGAGAAGGTTTTAGGTGATATGGTGCCAATGCCAGAAAAAGGAGTTCCAATTCGCCTCTACCCCCATTAGTTTTTTTGATTAATGCTAAACAAATAAAATTTTCACAAAAAATAATTGTGATCGTTTGTAATTTTTTTGTTTGTAGTCCAAACATACATTATTGTGACTCAAAATTTCAAAAATGTTCCTATTATTTCATTTTGTATAAATTTTACGCATAGACTATGCGTAAAAAACTTTTCTAGTATTTATTCATGTATGTGATAAAATTTCTATGCCATTCAATTTGGACTTCATTGATCCGCCTGATACTATAGGATTTAATTTCTTTTAAATTTTTAAAAGTGAAAATTTTATTATAAAAGTTTTGTTGCGATAATTCAAAAAGCACCTCTATTAGTTGTTTTGTTTCAACAATACCTTCTACAAGAAGCCAAATGTGTGTATTTGAGACAAAGCTCACAAATAACATTTTCCTTTAAATTTGTTAGAATTTTAAATTAAATCACAAACTTTTTTGCTAAAGCCTTTAAATACATTAATTATTATTTTTTCTTTACACCCACTCTATACATATTGGATCTTGAACCTTATAAAGGAACACACTTGCATATTATAGAAGGTGAGTGTAAAGAAATTAGAGGTGTATTTAAAAGTAACCTCTGTTTTACTTCTATTTGTGATGGGTTAGAATGAACAAGTTAATGTATACAAAGGAAAATTTAAAGTGTACAAAAGAAAAAAAAAATATTAGTGTTTTTATATATTTTTAAAAATTATTATACCAGACATATGTATGTAATTGTGTTAATAAATGTCGTCCTATATATGTGACGTTTTGCAAATGTCTGCAACCACTTATACTCGCCTTTTTTATAAATATTTTTAAATTGAAATAGTTAACTTCACAGCATTATTATTACCGACATAAAAAATGTAAAGCAAACAAAGAAATAATCTAAGCTGAATTTAAAAAAAAAAAAAAAAAACATTTTTTGCCAAGTGACCAAATCTCATCATCCAAAACATCATACATATTGAGGTTGCCTATTCCGTTCTTGCCTCAACTTGTTTTCAGACATACTAGCTCTACACTAATTAGACAATAGAAATCCACTTTGTAAATTTAAAACCATTTTTTGAATGAGTTGGACTTCTCTCAGGCTTAAATATAAATTTGAGTATTATATTTGGCCTCATAGGACCCATCACATATTCTTTTTGATAATCTGAACAATTTATTTTGTAGGATCCTCTTCGTATATTATTCATAAAAAATTAAATTAATTCAATAATCTTAATATTTTTATTTAATTGGATTTGTCTTTAAAAAAAAAATGGACGATAGTAATATTTTAAAAAATAGCTCATCTATTTTTTTAAGAGAGAAACATAATAAAATAAAAATATTATGAACATAGATGTCAAATTTAAATTTCAACTTGAAAAAAATGTAAGCATTTAAAAAAAAAATTATTATCACTATCTTAATATTTATGAGTCTGTATGACTAGTTGCCAAAAACTTAAATTGGCTGGGTGAACGTGACGTGTCTATACAAATGTATAGTTGTGATTTTGTACCTCAAAATTTAAAAATCATTAGATTAAACACCCATATATGTTTCCATGTTAATAAATGTCATATTATTTTTATAACGTTTAACAAACAACTGTTGTCACTTATAATCGACGTTTTTATAAATGTTGTCAAATTGTACAGCTAACTTCGATCCATTATCATTATCGGCATAAAAAATGTAAAAGTAAATAATTTAAATTGAATTTTTTTTAAAATCATTATTGTTTGCTCGATGACCAAATCTCACTACAACAAATAAGAGTTTTAGAGACCAAATGTTTTGATTTGTAAAAGTGAAAATTTTGTTACAAAAAATATTTAAGGATCAATTTCTATCGTCATGAGGATAATCGCTAAAAGGTCGGCTCTAAAAATCTAAAACAAGGCTTTTGGAGACAAAATTTTGAAAATGTCACTAATAAATAGATTTTTAGGGACAAAATAATTTGGTCTCAAAATAGTTTATTTTTTGAGACAAAAAATTTGGTCCCAAAAGGATAATAATTCATCATTAATGTCTAATTTTTGTTGCTAAAAATATAATAACAGCACTTTTCCCAATAAAAATATTTGGTCCCTAAAAAATAATTTTGCCCCTAAATTTTGGTCTCTAAAACCTTAATTTTTTGTAGTGTCTTGTCATAATCACAAACTTGATGCATGTTAAGCACGCATATTACATCCTCGTTCTGACGTGATTTAAAACATACTATCTCTATCCCAATTAGACAATAAAAACCGATTTTGTAAATGACTTGACAAAAAAGAAAATTCCATGAGACACTTTTCAAAACATTTTTCCAAGGAATTTTACTAAGTTTCAAATCATTTTATATATATATATATATATATATATTTATTATGATAATCTCACAATATTAATGAGTCTTTACTGACATTTATGAGTATTTATCAAATCTTAAATGGGATACCTTTTCTATGAAAAAAGCAAGGCAGAGAAACACCAACGAATGTGTATATATATACAATGCAAGAATAGTCAACCCAACCCAACCCAACCCAACCGAGGCTGCTAAGAAGATGAGCAACATCATCAACAGAGGAGAAGATGAAGATGAAGATACAGTCTCGAAAATTCCATTGATGAAATCAATGAATAAGCGATTTTACCAGAATATTGGTATGATCTCTACATATATGTACTTGATTTCTTTGATTGTGATTGATTTTTGATACTTTTTTTTGTTGCTGAAATTGAACTAGATCATTCCAAGGGTCGATCACTTAAAGATGATTGAGATCGATGGTCTTGCTTGTGATTTGTTTCATAAGCCCATCGATGGAGCTACACATCCAATTGTTCTACTAGGCTGGTAATTCCATCTGCCTCTCCATTTTGATTTAACAGTGTTTTTTCTCAAATATTTTCTTTTTCATTTTAAGTAACATAACAATTTCGGGTTGACTAGCAGGATTCCAATATGAAAAGAGGCAAATGGACGAAGAATTTGGATGGCTATGAATTCAAGCTAAGTATCCAAGTAAAAGCAACAAAGCAAACCACTCTCTTGAACTTGAAGCATATTGGATGTGTTAAAAATATTTGTTAAAATGTTATATGACAAAAAGCTATATAAAAGTGAGATATGAATTAAAATTTTCAGTATATGAGTGCTCCAATAGAGTCGTATTCTCTGATTAGTATATGAGTGCTCCAATAGAGTCGTATTCTCTGATTAGTATATGAGTGCTCCAATAGAGTCGTATTCTCTGATTTACATATTCAAAGTTTGTGTTCTCTTGTAATCTAAGCCACTATCTTGAGCATCATAGTACTGGATGTGTAAAAAATGTCTGTTACAAAAAAAAAAAAAGAAAAAAAAAGGATAAAAGTTAGATTCAATTTAGGAGTTTAGTGTTTGTTAAATTATTGGTTGTATGGGTGTTCCAATGTTGATGCTAAACTGTGATTAATTAGTGGGTGTACGTAATTATGCTGATGTTTGGCAATCATAATTTGGTTGTTATTGTAACGCCCTCAAAAATAAACCCATTAATTATATATATCATCAGCATGCAATGATAGAGAGGAAACATTTCATTATAATATTCATCAGAGTCTTACTAAATAACAGCATTACATGTAACCTCAAATTAAATGCCCTACAGGCTTACATCTTTCCAAGCCAACACTTGGACAACAAAAGTATGAGTTCTAACTCAAATCCAAATAAAGCCCTAGGCTTGAGTGTTTACATGTACTAACAAATAAAAACAAACAACTGAAAATAGTCTTCAAAATCCAAGTCCCTTCCAAGCTAAGTCCTTGGAGGTAGCTTATCACCTGAACCTGAAAATGATGTTCCCATATAGGGTGAGCCACAGCCCAGTAGAAATATACTAAACCAAATATAAGCATTGAATAAAGCAATAGCATTCAATAGATGGTTAACCAAGATAATCAATTACAACATTATCCAGTCTCATGACACTATTGTCAATGACACGTTCCACTTTCCAACATTATCAATATGGCTCAGAACCTGGCCAAACTTACAACAGTGAACCACATATATATAATATTCACATTCTTCCAATGTCAACAAACAAATGAGACTCAAGCTCAAATCAAAACACTTCATACTTCCAGATTGATACACATTTTAGTGCTGTATCAATAAAAACACTTCAATATAAATAAGCACACATAAAAGTGATGCTAATGGAGTCCATCCCCTATCTCCTCCAAAACAAAATCCGGTTTAGAGGTCCATCCCATATCTTCCCCTAAACCGTGGAGTACATCCCCTATCTCCTCCCACACAAAACAATGTATGTAAACACATAACATATACAACACACAATCAATACACATAATGTCTGTATTAATTCAGCAGTCAAAATGAATGACTCAACCAATATGATTAGTTTCAGTTATCCCTAATCCACATGCATTGTCTACAACAATCACGACTATCCTCCACCGATAGCCCAAAACAGTTATTTCTAGACTTGGAAATAAATATATCAACAATTCCAAAGACGAGTGATTTAAATTATCCAACTGCACCATTTAATCAATAAATTCCCCAATTTCATGAATTTAACCAAATTCCCCAATTCCCTTAAATTAATTATACAAATTAATTAATTAATACAACTAGGGTTTTTCCCAAAATTATCAAAGTAACCCCACCATATCAATATACCAAAACTTAGAACAAAACCTATAAAATGGAGTAGGAAATCCCTACCTCGAAGAAAACAACCCAAATGGAGAAACCAGAGATGAATACCCAAATACCAATGTGCTCCAAATCGCCAAATGTTCAAATTAAATGAAAGCCCTCGACTCCCTCTATCTTTTTAATAAAGCAACTAGGGTAGAAACACACTCTAAATAGATAAAACCTAAGAGAGAAGGTGAGTAGGGAGAGAGAGAAGTCGGACCTAGGGTTTGGAATCAAAAAGAGGATGAAAAACTGATTAAAAACCCGCTGCTGTCTAATTAAACTGAACAGGCTTGCTCGAGCGAAGACTTGGTCGCTCGAGCGACCAGACACAAGAAATCCTCGCTCGAGCGAAGAAAATCTCGCTCGAGCCAAGAATGCAATACTACAGGTCTATACTAGACGCAAACTCTCGCTCGAGCGACCAAACTCCGGCTCGAGCGAAGAACCAAAAACAACAGCTCGCTCGAGCGACCAACTCCTCGCTCGAGCGAAGATCCAAAATTCTGGACAGCAACACTTGATTTCTAAACCCAACCAACCTGAAACAAACCTGCCCAACACATCCTAACTCTAAATGAGAAAATAAGGGACAACAACAATAATTATACAATGACAGAATCTACGGAACCTAAGTCCGGATACTATAATCAAATGGGAAAAGACCGGGGTCGCTATAGTTATGGTCGGTTTATTTATTTATTTATTGCTTTTGTTGGTTTCACGTCAATGGTTGGGTGTTTTCCTAGATGTTTGCAAGTGATTTTGCTTGGAGTTAATGTAACAATCTAGTTGAGATATGTTCCTTATGTATTTTTATTTTATTTTATTTTTTTTTTGGGGGGGGGGGAAGAGCAAAAGAATTTACTAATGAAAATTTAATATACATAGAAAAACTCTGAAAACCAACATCAATAAAAAGAGAGGTAAGTGCATCCAGCATTAAAGCCAAATTTTACAAGACAAACAAAACCAAAGAGAATCACAGAACTTGGCTGTATGGGTGTTCCAATGTTGATGCTAAACTGTGATTAATTAGTGGGTGTACGTAATTATGCTGATGTTTGGCAATCATCATTTGGTTGTTATGGTCGGTTTATTTATTTATTTATTGCTTTTGTTGGTTTCTCGTCAATGGTTGGGTGTTTTCCTAGATGTTTGCAAGTGATATTGCTTTGAGTTAATGTAACAATCTAGTTGAGATATGTTCCTTATGTATTTTATTTATTTATTTATTTATTTATTTTTTTGGGGGGGGGAGGGCAAAAGAATTTACTGATGAAAATTTAATATACATAGAAAAACTCTGAAAACCAACATCAATAAAAAGAGAGGTAAGTGCATCCAGCATTAAAGCCAAATTTTACAAGACAAACAAAACCAAAGAGAATCACAGAACAACACAAAAAGGGGCCACCACCTCTGTTATGAACCATGAAGACCATTTAAGAAAACTCCAACAGCATCCACATCTTGAAACAAACATTGGTGGATGCAAAGCTATCCCAGCAACAGCAGCAAAAAATCCCAAAATCTAGTCCAGGTAACAAACTTACCTAAACCATTTGAACACACTGATGAAGTTACAGAAATCAAATCCTCCACCAAAAGCCCCTGTTAAGCGCAAGCTGCAAGCGAAAAAAAGAAGAAGTCATTGATGCTGAATTCTTAGAAATTATTCTTGAACTTGACCCACAAAGCGACTCGAATCTTGATTAAATCCAATGTAGCTTTCCATTCATGTTGTGCACCATTGAATAGGCATTCATTTCTCGGATTCCATACAGTCCACATTATCACAAAAGGAATAACCTCCCCAATCACTATTTCTTTCTTAAGCAACCTTGACCCTTGCCACCAACCTAAAAGCACTCGTATCGACCCTTTCTTAAGCTATGATGCAGCTTTAACACCTTGGCTTTGTCTATTGATGTAATTCTCTTTGTACGTTTTCGCTTTCATTAATATACTCTATTTTTTTTACTGATAAAAAAAAAAATAGTCCAGCATTTATGTTGGTATCCACCAATCATAACAAAATAATCTACCTTTAACATTAAGATAGACTTCAAACTGGACCATTGTAATTTAATGTCTTCAGCAATAAAGTTATTGTAAACCTTAATTTGTTCAATATTTCTTGGGATCATATGAAATCTTATTTTTCTCATAATTTTTACACTTTGCATTAAGAAAATGATGCTATAAGCTTTAGAAATGCCACAATTAGATTAGACAACGTTTATTGTTAAAATGTCCACCGTCTTATCTTTCCAACCATTTATAATTGACATTTTCATAAATGTTGTCGAATATTTGTCAGCAAGAGGATTTAGTAAACTTCAATTCATCAGCATTAACGGTGACATGATGTCACATGCCATTTATTTGTACACATCATAGTTTACTTGTAGTTGTGTTTCCAGAACACCATCTTTTCTTCTCTTTTCTTTTTAATTTTTAATTGAATGGCATTATAAAAAATAAAAAAAACAAAAAAAACTCATACTGGCATTTCTGTATTTGAGTTATTCAATTTGAAACTGAAATCAAAATTTGACACATTATTTTGTATTATTATTATTATTATTATTACTTTTTATGTTTCTATTATACAACTCTTTATATCATATAAATACTGTTCCTCTATTTTAAAATAATTGTTTCATTTCTCCTTTCTTTTAATTTAATTATTGAGATAATAAACCAATATAATGAGTTAGTGGGCCGTTCGAAAATCATGTTTAGTTGGAAAGAAATAGGTGAGTCTAGCATTTTTTATGACGGTTTAGGCCTTGTTTGGAAGCAGACTATTTTTGTAACTTTTTGACTTGTTGACTAAAATATGAGATAAACAAATTAGTATGTTTGGAATGATTTTTTGATTTTTTACGAAAATATGTGCAAAAAATGAAGAAAAAAGGGAATCTTTGACTTTTTAGTATAGGTTATAGGCTTTTTGATTTTTTTTAATAACTTTTTAACTTTTAGGCTACAACACTCACATGCCAAACGAGACCTTAGATCACTAGTCCTATCCCATGAGAGTTCGCTTCCTACTAGACAAAAATAACAAAGTTATCTTGCATCTTACATCTTGAGTCTAATACCTCCACATTGGTAATTTCATCACTCACAATATTACTATAATCTTAATCCCAATTTGCATAATCCAGCAATAAGCATGGCTTCCTGTCCTTTTGTTGAATCTGTACAATACCAAAAAAGACTTGGAGTAAATATTTACAAAACAAGTGGGAATGTTTTTGTTACTTACACTAAGCGTGAGAATTGGATAAACAAAATTACAAAATAATGAAATTTGACATTGCATTTGCTTTTGTCTTCTCTTCTTCCTCATTTCTTCTACATCCTCTCCCTTCCCTCCATTTGCAACTTGTTGACTGTCATCACCACCACCCCTCCGCAATCACACCATACCATTCTCACTTGCCTCCATCCACAACCACCAAATTATGA